AGTCTAAGATGACAACACCACCCCCTCAATCCCAAACTAACTAGGGTTGGTGGTATGAACTGAATGGGCTCATAATTTTCAAAAAAAATAAAAATACAGCGGAACGTCCAGGCACTGTTCACATGTTTCATATAACTGGTAACGTAAACTACTTGAAATTGACTATGACAGCTCAGCCATGAATCTTTCATAGCAGGTCTTCCTGTTTTAACAGTTTAAGAATGGTCAGTCTATGTTCGCTTATAAGGAGGTCAGATATCAAACAAATTAACCAAATAACAGTAAATAGAAACACAAGCCATTTGCAATTAGGTGTTAGAAGAGAAATTTAGAAGGACAAAGTACAGGGTGGGGAATGAATGTCGAGGGAAAACAGTGATGACTAGATAGCAAAATCATAGTTCTTGTTTTTCTATTAAAAGAAAAAGACTAGCAAATACCTCTGGATGACTCTGTCCAATTCGCACTAACAAGGACTGTATCAGTTCACTGACAGCATGGTTATTTGAATGTATCCGTCTGATAATCTGAGGTAAAACAACCAACCATGTGTGAATCCTTTCTGTAATGCCATTTGGACCTCAGAAGTAGCTCCATGGTTGAACCACAAAGTGAGAAGACGAAGAATATCTTGAAACCCGGAAACATGACCAAAGTAAAGTAAATCAATAATATAATGGAAGTCAATGGTGATCACTAGTGAATCTAACAGGGTTGCTGGATAACCGGGCAATTATGACACTGCTGAAAATTAAAGTCAACACAATACATGAATTCAGTTAGGATTATGAGTTTCTTCGGCTAAACAAATGTTTTCATCTTGAGAAACACGTGCACAGATGCAAAATGAATTGGATAGAAATTGTAGAGTATGCGGAACACATTTGAAAAACGCATGAGCTTAAAATATAGCAAGAATCCAGCAAGAAAAGGGACACCATGCCACTACAAGGATACGAAGTGCTAAGCAACCAGTAAGCTCAATAAGAAAGACATTTAGCGACAAGGACAAACCAGTGACACATCAACATCACACAAGGTAGTCTTTTAACAACTGAATTAAATTAGCTGTAGATTCAGATATAACCTGTAAACTATCATCAACACCCTTAGCATGTGCTCCGCAAGCTATAGAGTGAAAATAACCAGTTATGGCAGCAACAATAAACTGTGCAGCAATGTTTGCAAAACCTCTTAGAGTGTAATGAGACATCACTGCTGTATTGAAAAGTGCCCTAGTATGCCATGCCTTTCCCCACTTCGTTGCACAGTGAGCAGAATTTCTAAATGCACTAAGAATTTCTGACAAGGTCAATATGATCCAAGAAAAAGTCGTTAGAAGTGATATCATTAAAGCTGTCACGCCATCAAGTATAAAGCCTCATTATCTTTTCTTTTGAGAGGGTAAGTGTAGTGTCTTCACATTTTACCTTGTATAGAATCACCATCCAAACCAGGAGAAAGTACCCACTTCCAAGTTCCGAGTCTGAGGTACATACAAGCAACAAGTGGCTCACCAGAAGAAGCAACTAATGCATTCTGCATTACTGGTTGAAGAGTAGCTGTTCTTGAGAGGTCCATAGCAAGGTCCTTCAATATCAAAATTAAATGACAGAGCATGAAGAAGCATGAACATGATAGTTACTTCTTGTGATAGGTAATCGTAATTTTATCTCCGAAGTGCGATACCTGCAACCTAGCAAAGGCTTCCTTTCGCTTATGATCCTCGCCAAGTGACCATTGGTACTTCAAGTATGCTAGCATCACCTGAAGGGGGCCGTGATACACGCAGTTGCAGGAGTCGTTTCAGGATCGAACTGTAGGATAAAAAGGAGTCATCATAAACACGCAGTCTCACAAGTAGATCTATAACAAAAAGGATATAACACAAGGCAACACAAACTTTTTATCCGCAACCCAAGGTAAATTACTAACCTGTAAGAGTTTAATCAACGTAGATCTAGCTTGGCTAATTCTTCTATTTTTCCGGCAGAGAGATGCAAACTTGATCCATGTGTCTATATCTTCTGTAGGAGGCAATACAAGTGCCCTCACAGCTAAAAGTGCTTGCCAGACTTGCAAAAACTAAGAATATGTTGCAGATAACAGAGGCAGAATGCTCAGGGAAATGAAAAAGGAATAAAAACTTATTACTCATAGAGAGAGAGAGCATGGAATCACAACTAAGACAGGAAAAAGACCAGACAGACAGTTTCTGTAAGACACCATGAGTTTGAGAATAAATACAAAGGCCACACAACTAGTCACCCAGCTCTCATGTAAGCGTTTCTGGATTGAATATATAAAAAAATCATGATTGGACAACCAAAATGCAACTCACTCACTGAGGGAAGTTCTGAAACTTACCTCGACATTTCATTTTGCACCCTTTATGCGCTCATTCCACATATTGCAAATCAGCAACAGGGTTTCCCATAGGAGGAAGAGTACAGTACTCAATGACCTAATTAGAATGAGATGAAAATGAATTCACAGATCATTAAAAATCACAGCAATTAGGAATCACTTTATTGAAAAGGCTAAAAAATATGTCACCTCTTCTAATACAGAGAGCTGCCGAACGCGAACCATGTTGCGGTAAGCACATTCAAAGGTTCCAAGAACCTAGATGAATTAAAGGAGAATTGTCAAGAATTTTGCTATAAACTCCTGTATAAGTCATCAAATGAGTATAAAATGTGAGGAGATGACAAGATAATGAGATGAAGAAACAAACCAGTGCAGCAAGCTCGGTTGCCAAACATTTCCATGCACTTTCAACATATTCACGTGCTTCATCGTACTGATGGAAGAAGGGGTGCAAGTACAAAGATTACACTAGAGCAGAGCATGTCACAACATCAACACAAATGAATGAGTGAAAAATGGATGGACTACCTTCCCTTGACGAACTAGAAGAACGGACCTTAAAAGGGTGCCATTACTACTTCCATCACTGCTGGAAGCAGTATATCCCAAGACTCGGAGTTTGGTTTCATCACCATCATCAAGCCGAGAAACATATGCTGCCATCTGATCCCACTCACCCATGTTCCAAGCAGCATTAGCTGCCTAAACTAGTCCAAAACATGCATTCACTATGATTATTGAAAGAACAAAAGCTATCAGAAATTACATATAAGCTGAATTGACAAACCATTGGTGCCATTTCCAGTCGAGCTGCTGGCTCAGCTGGTGTCCAGTATTCCTTACAAAGATTGTTAAGCTCCTCCCACTGAGCTAGAGCAGCATTGCATACGTCCTTAAGGAAACACAGAGAAGGATACAGATGGTCATCATCAGAATAAAGAGCATACAATACAAATCAAATTCAATTTTTCAACATGAACCAGATGCATAACACAAACCCAATTCCACAGGTCAACTAGCATTTATTTAAGCCACCAAGCAATTTACGAACAAGTGACAACAAATTTCACTGAAAGCATGAATTTGATTACCACTTAGAACCGTTTAAGTATTACATCAGGTAGTTAGAGAGGGGCAACCAATTTCCCTTGCTCCTTTTCAGATGATAAATCTCAAAAGTGAAGGTCACTACTCTTTGAAGGAAAACTCGGATCTAGCATATGATCTATCACTAGGATCAAATATCTTCAGTAGTTCTGCAAGTAGAAGTCATAGACCAGATTATGCAGTAACTGTTCCAATAATACAAACCTAGAGTGGCATCCAAACCAAGATGTGGACTCGAAGCTTGTGACGCCTTAGCAGTGTATGCTTTAAGAGCATCGTCCCAGCATTGCAACTTCTCATACCTTAAAAAATCGACAAATAGCAATGACATCGGTGAAGGAGAGGATACATTTGAGACCACCATTTCACGTTAAAGCTTGTGCTGCCTATAGTACTAATTAAGATTAACAGGAAAAAATGAGCTGCAATTAAAACAGTACAATAGAATGCAACAATCAACAGTACCATGACTTCTTCAACTGAACCCCCAAACGCTGCTGAGCATATGTTAATATTCCAACAGCTGCCTGAAGATGTCAAGCATGATTAAGTTTAATCACCAGAAAGTCAGTATGAAACATAAGTATGCTGCAACAAACAACTAAGAAATCAAGACCTCATGTTGATATTGATTATCTATATGGACTAGAGCTACAGCAACAGGATTTGCATCCCTCCTATTTGAAAGCGCGCCTTCAGATTCCATTTCCTTGTAGTGTAGGGCCTTTGCAAAAGCTCGACACTGAGAGGAAGAGCTCATTACGGACACTACTTAACTAATAACAGCAGAAGGTATATATCAATCAACTGTACAATTTCAGAATAAACCCACCTTCTCCGCTAGAGCACCCAGCAGACGGATATCTATAGGAAGGGGGATCTCTCATCATGTTCCATAAACTCCGCCTGGAAAATACAATTAGCCAAACTGAAATAAAATTATAGTACTGCAGCTTTACTGATAAAAATTATAGTGCTGCGGCTTTACAGAGGACATATTACTGTCATGGAATCATCATCTGGAAACTTAATCATGCTTGACATCTTTAAAGCTTGTGCAGCCTATAGTACTAATTAAGATTAGCAAGAAAAAACAAGCTGCAATTGAAACAGTACAGCAGAATGCAACAATCAACAGTACCATGACTCCTTCAACTGAACCCCCAAACGCTGCTGAGCATATGTTAATATTCCAACAGCTGACTGAAGATGTCAAGCATGATTAAGTTTAATCACCAGAAAGTCAGTATGAAACATAAGTAAGCTGCAACAAACAACTAAGAAATCAAGACCTCATGTTGATGTAATGGATTATTTATATGGATTAGAGCTTCAACTACAGCAACAGGATTCGCATCCCTCCTATTTTTAAGTGCGCCTTCAGATTCTGTTTCCTTGTAGTGTAGGGCCTTTGCAAACGCTTGACACTGAGAGGAAGAGCTCATTATGGATACTACTTAACTAATAACAGCAAAAGGTATATATCAATCAACTGCACAATGTCAGAATAAACCCATCTTCTCCACTAGAGCACCCAGCAGACGGATATCTATAGGAAGGGGGATCTCTCATCATGTTCCATAAACTCCGCCTGGAAAATACAATTAGCCAAACTGAAATAAAAATTATAGTACTGCAGCTTTACTGATAAAAATTATAGTGCTGCAGCTTTACAGAGGACAGATTACTGTAATGGAATCATCATCTGGAAACTTAATCATGCTTGACATCTTTAAAGCTGCTTGTGCAGCCTATAGTACTAATTAAGATTAACAAGAAAAAACAATCTGCAATTAAAACAGTACAACAGAATGCAACAATCAACAGTACCGTGACTCCTTCAACTGAACCCCCAAATGCTGCTGAGCATATGTTAATATTCCAACAGTTGCCTGAAGATGTCAAGCATGATTAAGTTTAATAACCAGAAAGTCAGTATGAAACATAAGTAAGCTGCAACAAACAACTAAGAAATCAAGACCTCATGTTGATGTAATTGATTATTTATTTGGATTAGAGCTTCAACTACAGCAACAGGATTTGCATCCCTCCTATTTGAAAGTGCGACTTCAGATTCCATTTCCATGTAGTGTAGGGCCTTTGCAAATGCTCGACACTGAGAGGAAGAGCTCATTATGGATTCTACTTACCTAATAACAACAGAAGGTATATATCAATCAACTGCACAATGTCAGAATAAACCCACCTTCTCCGCTAGAGCACCCAGAAGACGGGTTATCTAAAGGAAGAGGGGTCACTCAGCATGTTCCATAAACTCCGCCTAGAAGTACAATTAGCCAAACTGAAATAAAAATCATGTACTGCAGCTTTACTAATAAAAATTATAGTGCTGCAGCTTTACAGAGGACAGATTACTGTCTTACTATGCAACTCCTTCATATATTGAGCCAATCATTCCAAAAAAACATTGGATATCAAGTGCTAGGAACAAACACAACTTTTAGAGCTTAGGCTAACCCTTTATCAACATTAAGCACCATTACAGGAAAAATGGAGGTGTGATAGAAAGTGATATTTCCCCCAGCACACAACCTAAAACAAACAAAATCAAATAACTCAAAAACTATGAGATCCTACTACTACCATTATGATTTGATATGTGCATTGTAAAGCTCTGAGCAGTTCTACTCTTTCAAGGGGCATCTCTATTACAGGAAAAATGGAGGGACTATCTTGTTTAGGTAATTATTCTGGAGATCCTATATTCACACAGTCTGAACATGTAAAGTAACAGTTTAAATCTTGTTGTATACATAAGCGGATTCTCCTACAATCAATCATGTATATGAAGAAACATGTAAATGCCTCTATTTTGAACTCAATTTCACATTAACACCGTCATTTGTGAGAGCATCAATGGATCAATATCTTCAAAATTGAAGAATGTGGAAAAACTAACCAAGTTCAGAAGTGTAGCAAGAATTTCAGGAGGGATATTTGGAGAAGAAGGCTGCAAAAGTTCAACATTAGAAAAAAGAAAGACAACTAGAAGCACTTCTATATTTCTGGCAGTTCCTCTTTTTTAGAAAATCTTTTAGCTTTTGTTTCCTTTTCTTTTGAACAATGAAAAAGAGGTTTTCTATTTTTTTTTTGAGATAAAGATAACTGATGAGGAAGAGGATGTCGAAGAGGATAATACCTGTAGTAGTTTAGCCAGCCTTGTGCAAGTTCTTAATGCTGGAATAGGGTGATTCTTTCAAAAGTTCAATGCTGAAATGCCTCATCCACTCTGCCCATTCCTCTTTGGTACTCCGTTGAGAAGCCTCACCGGCGGTACGCAATCTGTCATCATTGACCTACATAAATGTAGTTTAGAGTCAATATATCCAACTAGACATCATCAAAATTTGAAGAAAAGTAACAGAAAAATTATTCAAATAAAAGAAGGGAGAAATAGAAACAGAAATTCAATAATTCCTGCTACAACTCAAAGTACAAGCCGACTTTCATATTTGAAATCATGTTTTCTTGGTTTTAAAAAAGGAAGGTGCAATGAGGAGCGAGAGATTTGACCCCAAACTGGATTGAAGCCCCCACCTGATGGGGGATACCTAAGGAATCCCATTTACTTTTCTTTTTTTATGAAAATAAGTGAAATATCATTAAAAGGAATCAAGAAGATGTTAGCCAAACATCTAGCTTTTAAGGAACTACTAGAATCTAAGATACCATTAAAACATATGTGATTCCTTTCAGCCGAATACACAAAAAATACAAGCAACCATCCAAGATATGCTATGAGGCAATAACTATCTTGAATTGTCAACCTTAAGACTAGTCATGTGCCAGAATTCATTACCTTTAACACGAACAACACCATCTTGCATTCCCCAAAAACCATAAATACATCATAGCTGAGCCGCTTAAATCACCAAGTCTGAATACAATAACAATAACGCATTACTCATGTTAACTTCGGATAACCAGCTTTTAATATGATAAAGACAGTTATAACATCAAGAATCCTATAATTGTCACCCCAAAGTAAACAACACTGCAAGAATTTCAGTTTATCGATTGACAACAGCCAAAGGACATGCAAGAAAGTTCGAATGTTTCTTGCAGAAGCAATTGGTAGTATAACAAACCCAACACTGTTCTTTTCTAAATAAAAACCAAGACCCCATGGCATTCTTGAAAACGACATGCCTTGGAAGGATAAAGACATGCCTAATGGAATAAATCAAGAACCCCATTCTTTTCTCAATAACCGGTTTTCAGTATGATAAAGACAATTAGAACATCAAGAATCCTCTAAATTGTTCCCCAAAAGAAAACGACACTACAAGAATTTCAGTTTATCTATTGATAACAGCCAATGGCACCCAAGAAAGTTTGAATGTTTCTTGCAGAATCAATTAGTTGTATAACAGACACTACAAGAATTGTTTCCCAAAAGACAGTTATAACATCAAGAATCCTCTAAATTGTTCCCCAAAAGAAAACGACACTACAAGAATTTCAGTTTATCTATTGACAACAGCCAAATGGCATGCAAGAAAGTTTGCATGTTTCTTGCAGAATCAACTAGTTGTATAAAGACCGAACCCTGTTCTTTTCTCAATAAAATCAAGACCCCATTCTTGAAAACTGGACATGCCTTATAGGATAAATCAAGAACCCCATTATTTTCTCAATAACTAGTTTTCAGTATGACAAAGACAGTTAAACATCAAGAATCCTCTAAATTGTTCTCCAAAAGAAAAGACAGTACAAGAATTTCAGTTTATCTATTGAAAACAGTCAAATTACACGCAAGAAAGTTCGAATGTTTCTTGGAGAATCAATTGGTTGTATAACAAACCCAACCCTGTTCTTTTCTCAATAAAATCAAAACCCCATTCTTGAGAAAAGGAAAAAAAAAACAAGAAAAGTAGGAGGAAGAGAAGAAAATGGAAATGCCTCGGAAGGAGGAAGCTTATCGGAGTAGAAGCGGAAGAAGCTTATCGGAGAACAGAATGACTAGCCGAGGACTCCAAACAGGGGCTTGCATTTTGGTCTCGAATAATAAAATCTTCGCGCGGATACCTTTATATTCGTTTTTCCCAAATGACTAGTGTGGAAAAATAATTAATTATTTTATCATAAAAAAAAGTTATTAAAAGTTTCTCTCTTCTCGTATAACTGCTAAAAACATAAGCTTTTTTTAAAAAAAAAATAGTTTTTCAAAAAAGTATTTTCCAAAAAAAGATAATTTGTGTTTGGCAAATTTATTTGAAAAGTATTTTTGACAAACAATTTGTGTTTGATTAATTTTCTTTAAAAAAATGTTTTTGAGAATCAAATTACAAAAAAGGGCAATTCACTATGCTTTTAATATTAAGATTGTTTTATAGAGACAAACTATTTTAAACAACTAATACAAAAACTTTAATTACATTTTTAATTTAATTATTTAAAATGTACATATTCAAATTTTCAATCAATATTGTACATAGATAAATATTGTTGAAAAATATTGAAAAGATGATTTTTTTTGTTATTTGTTACCTCTTTTTTTTTTGGATTCAATCTTAGTTATTATCCTTCTCTTTTTTTTTTTGTTATAAAACTCTAAAGTTTTAAAAAATTCAAATTAAAATAAAATAATACGTAAATTAAGAAAAGAATAATTTGAGTATTTGTTATACTTTTTTGGGAGGGTTTAAATCTTTAATTGTTACTTTTTCTCTTTTTTCAATCCAATAATACATAAAATAATATATACATATACAATATAATATAAAACATAAATAAAATAAAAAGTTTATTATATAAAAAAAAATCTTAAATAAAAATCAATCAAACTTATGAGATATGTTAATTAATTAATAAGGGATATATTGATAAATATGTGCATATGTAAGGGATATTTTAATCTTAAAAAATAATTTTCTAATTTTGCTTCTGCTTTTTTTAAAAAAAAAAAACTGAAACTTTTAGCTTCTTCTCAACCGCAGAAAAATTGCTCCTGCTTCTATTTAAAAGCAGTTTTAAAATTTTGTCAAACACTTAATTTCTCAAAATAAATATTTTTTTTCTAAAAAAAGAAAAACACTCTGACGTTCCAACAACAATAATGCCAAATAGGCTCTTAATAAAATCAAATCGTTGAGGTTGATTCTAAAGTATTATTGCATTTAAAACTCGGAAAAAATTCAAGTATGTTATTGAATTATCACAAATGGTTTGTCCTTTTATCCGTTGATAGTTTGAGCCTATTTATATCATTATTGTGATAAAATGTGTGTAATCAAGTCATTTTTTATTAATGACTCTAATATTAAAAAAACTAGATTTTTTTTATAAAGTTAAATTTTGATAAAGTCCGTCAACCTACTAACACAATTGTTATTGTTATTAATTAAGAAGCATATGACAAATGCAAACAGTTGGTAATGAATAGTGTAAACCTATTTGATTTCCTTTCTGTGCTAATTGAGAAGAAAAATCCTTTTGTGGTTTGTTAGGTACCTTTAATCCAACCAACATGTTACAAGTGTCCTTTACGTTTTCAGACTCTATTTAAGCTTAATAAATATATTAAGATTAACATACGTTGCTCTTTCTAGATTATCCACCAAACGTTTTAAATCTATATGCCTGTGTAATCAACAAGTTATTGAATCATACCTAAATGGAGTATTAACTATATAATATCTAGACTATGCTAAAGTAATGAATGAAACAACCAGTAATATAGAATACCAAATAGGCCTTTATACTGTTTGAGACATGATGAAGTAGTAGACATCACGAGACAACATAATAATTAACACTACTTTCATTTTTAACTATAGATTTAAGGTTCGAGTACCCCAGTATGAAAGCCTCTTTTGTTAGAAATCAACGATTTACTCTAATACGAGGACTTTTTGCTTGAAAAGAAAAACGAAAACAGCTTCTTGAAGATACAAATTAAACAAGCAAATATACTATAAGAATTAATAACATATATATAACTAAATTTAGTAGCGGAACTAGTAATTTTAATGAACTCATATATCTAGATCGATCAAATTTTTAAAAAAGGAAGAACAAAACTATATATTGAAGAGATGAAATTAAAAAAAATTAAGGAATTGTAATTAAGGTTGCTTATGTCTCTGGGTATAGATATAATCAAGATGAGCCTCTAATGTTCTTCTCATCAAACATTCTTCTTCTCCACCAGGACCTTCACATCTATCCTCCACATCTTCTTTCATTGCGGCCTTATCCTGTAATCATACAATTAACATCTAAATTTAGCGGCGGAGCCAGGAATTTTAACAACCGAAATTCAAAAATAAATATATATACCTTACTATGCTCCATCGGAGTAACATCATGATAAGGCGCACGCACTGGACGGGAAGAAGCGCAAGTTAGCGTGAGAAAGAGGAGGAATGCTATCATGCAAAAGGTGTTAAGTTTAGCCATATTGCTTAGTTCTTCGTTTGGAAGAGATTTTTGGAGACGATGATGGATTTATAGAGTGGGGGAACCAAGAAAGCAAAGGGACAAATGTTCTGTATTTAAAGAGATCTAGATACTGTAAATTTAGAATTTCTAAATATAATAATTCTATAATTATTTTGTTTGGAAAAAAAGAGAAAATTAAGGAGGGAAGACGAAAAGCTAAGAAAAAGGATGGCCGATGTTTCGAGTACAAAATCGTATTTGTTAGAAAGTATTTTAATTTGTCATAATATATATATATATATATA